ATTTCCTTTTCCCTTCTATTGGAAGAGTAGGATTTAGTAGGCATTTATTTTAAAGTTTAAAATACAGTTGTTAACTGTTGCACTAATATAATAAATTATATATTTTTATTATGAAATTAATGATTAATAGTCGTTACCTATTAACTATGAACTGAATCAAAACAAATAATTCAAACACTCATTTAAAATCATCTCTTTAATTAGAGTGGAAAAAAAGAGAGGCATTTTTAAAATTATAATTGAGCTACAAACTAGGGTGTTGTAATCAAACCACCTAAACTTGCTTCCACCAAAATGATTTAATATATTTGAATTGGGATAGCAATTCTATTACCTAAATGAGCACTTCAACATTGATTTATACACAATTTGAGGGATTGGAGAAAGAAAATTTTTTAAGTCGTTAATGAAACTCAAAATCTCGACCAACTAACTCAAATATCTTAAGGTTTGAAAATAAATCACTTAGATTTGAAAACTCAATTGTTTAGCATTGATATATTTGATTATATGTTGGGCATAAATTTTGATATGCAAAGAGTCAAAGAAAAACAAAAGATTTCGCATGCTACCACCAAAAAAAAAAGAGTCAAAATCAGAAGAGTTGGAAATTAAGAGGAGGGGATGGCGTGCTCACCGTGTTGCCTTAGTGGATTGGAAATGGGGACCCATTTTTTCTTTGTATGAACAGAACAGCGCCAAGGTTGCGTTGAGGTCTTCCAAAAGGAAAAGGTCTCTTTGATTTTAAACATCAGGGGAAGGTAGGCCTAGAAAATCATTCACGACCTACCAAATGGGACCCGCCCCGGCTGGTGGCTGGTTCATCGCCACTACTTCGTTGCACGCCCACGAACAATTGTCCTTGTCCTTTTTATTGCCTCCGGGGCCCCTCAACCGTTCTCATCTGTAACCATAATACACAATTTACATTATTAGATGAGAATGAATATTAGTAGTTGGGTCCCTCAAATGTTTTCATTTGTAGTCGCAATAAGTAGTTTTTTATTTAGATTATTAATGAGAATGGATTTTCTGATATTATTAGCCATGCTCCTCAACTGTTTTTACTTGTAATCACAATGCACAATTTAGAATTTTCTTTTTGGAATAGAAGAGAATTTTTTAGGGAGAAAGGAAAAATAAGATCTAAAAGTACCATTTGAGAATAGAGTTCAAGTCATTTATGTCCAATCACACACTTTCAAAGAGGTAACCATTAGATCACTTAGTGCTAGACATCCACTATTTAAATTATTGATATTGAATGAGGATAAACTTTTAATATTAGTAAATTTTATTTTGTATAATAGTTTTTATTTTGTAATTTAATGTAATTTAAAATTTTGATTGCAAAACATAATATTTTTTTAAAAAGTAGTTGAATAATTTTTTTTCAAAAAACTGCTTTACAATATAAATAATATGAAATTGCAAAATAATAATTATTAAACAATAAAAAAAATCCCTTAATAATGTGTAAAAATTCCTCTACTTAATAACTAGTATTTTATAATTCTTACAGCAGGGTGCTGGAGTTTAATTATTTTTGGTGCAAAAAAATCGTTGAATGATTGGACCGTCTTACTGTTGCTGGTTCTTTTTTTCTTCTTTCTTCTTGTATCTTTTTTTCGCCCAAATTGAACTTTTCTACAAAAATGCCACAATTTAAATGGAATATATTGTAAAGAGATAAAATCCTCTTAGTTATAAGTTTTATAAAATATTATAATTATAGTTTTTATTTAGATTTAATTGCCTTAAATTTAACTTTTAAATAAAGTTTAGCAAGACAATTAAAAAAAATTTTATACGGAATTTTTTTGGATATTTTTATTTAAATAAAAAATTTATTTCAATTGTCATTTATTTGTTATATAGAATTGTCGAGTTAATTTATATAAAATTAAAAGATTAAAACAACTAAAAAAACTAAAGGAAGTATTTTTTTGAATTATATAAAATGATTACAAATAAATTCATTCAAACTTTCATTAAAAGTAGTTTTCAAACAAAAAATTCCAGCCAAAATTTTTAAAAAAAATACTTCAAAACAATCTTTAAAAATATGAAAAATTCTTATTTTAATATAAATTCATTCTTATTTTAATTTGCCAAGTATAACTTGCACTCGTCTTTTGATTAACTTGAATGTAACTTTTAATTAACCCAAATCAAGTTCACATAATATTTCTCTTTTTGTTTTTACGATATAAAAACTTTTCTAGGAGGTAAGCCAAATGAACGCTTGATTTATTCGACTAATAAATCTAAAATAATATAAGGAAAGTAAAATCAATATTTTTTTAATCTTTTTTCTATGTTCTTTTATTTCTTTAGAAAGTGAAAGAGTAGTGACAACTTTATAAATTACTTCAGATTTGACGGCATTTTAATTGATTAAAATTATAGTTTTTTAGTAATTTCATAAAACTCATAAGCTTTTTGTTTTTATAAGTGGCACTCACCACTAAAAAAACAAAACATATAAAAATTAATGAAGTGAAATTAATGATTAAACCTTTAAATTTATATAATTGCAACTTTTAACTCCTTAAATTAAATTAAAAATTTTTTATAGTTAATAATTTGAACAATTAGGTTTGAATTTTTTAATAACATTGTAATTATTGAAATTTAAAATACATGGTATCCCAATAGATAGGTTTTTTTTTTCTTAATTTAATTAGAAAATTATTCACTTTAATTTAACTTCAAATTTTTTAAGATCTTGATTATCCTTTATATTATGAAAAATTAAATATATAAAATTATAGATAAATTTAATTTTAAATATGTATCACGCATGCTAAAAATTAAGCATTTCAAGGAGTTAAAAAAAAATAGATAAAACAAATTTAAGTGGTTATAAATATTAAAAAATTACTTTTACATTAACAAAAGTTAATAAATATTTATTTTATATAAAATACAAAAAAACAAAAGGATAAAACCAAATGAAATTTTGTATATATTATTATAAAGTCAATACATTACGAACAATTCACCGTTGCTGGGTGAAAGTGCAGGTATATGATAAAGGATGAACAATACCCCCTTCTCCCCCAACTTCACCTCTATCCATTTGTAACCGAAAATTTTATTTTATTTTTTTAAAATGGAAGTAGGTCTATTCTGAAAGTTCAGTGCTTGAATCTTGAGGTTTTCTCCTCTCTTGTACCTTTCCCCAGCTCAGTAATAATATTACTTCAATAATAATAATAATAATAAATAAATAAATAAATAAAATATATTAATTTTTATATTTTTTTATGTAAATTAAAAATTAAAAAATATATTAATTACACCTTTAAGAAACTCCAAATAAATAAACAGAAGAAGGAGAAGAATTGTTCTGCTTCTAGAAAGAAAAGGGCTCTATAACAAAAAATTCTTTACTCTAATTTGAAACTATTAAAGGAACAATTTGCTGCTCAAAGCAAAGCAATTAGTGACTCAAGAATCTAGAATTTTCTTCCTTTTTTTTTTTAATAAAATGTGTGGAAATGAAGGAGGTTTGTTTAGCATTGACATTGAAGTTCTCTTCTGGGAGAGTACCTTTACTCAATTTTATAATAAAATTTTAATTCATCTAAAAAAAAAAATACCATTGACATTGAGGACTCCGCCGATCTTCGTTGAATTGCGGCTGTTTGCCTTAGGGGCAACCAAGATTCTAATCGACGGCCAAAAAAAAAAACTCAAGATTCTAATAATCCCCACTACTTTTCTTTTTTTTTTTTGAACAAACTAATAATCTCCACTACTTAAATTAATTAAGATAATAATAAAAAATATAAAAAATATACTTTTAATTTATATTTAAAAGAGACAAATTAAAATTTTTTTATAACAATTAAGAAAGAAACAGTCCTTAATAAAACAAGCGAAGATTCCATTGTTTAATAATAACATAAATATCTACCATCCTCTTCGCTTATCAAAAGAATCCACCATCAAAGAACTTAAATGAAGTGATTGGTATTCAAGTTGTTACGTGGATCATGGCACTTCTGCCCTTTTTTTTATTTTTAATAGTTATTATACTTTTTTCTGCAAAAGAAATAATTTTTTATTCTTAACCTTGATCCTCCAATGGTCCCTAAAACCCAGAAACAATAAAGAGAAAAACTTTTTTTTTTTTTTTGATCAGTGACCTAAACGACCAAGGATGATTTTCTTTAAATGAAAGTTTACAAAAAAAAAAAAAAGTATGAGAGGGAAGGGAAACGAGAATCTTTCTTTTTATTTGGATAAGAGAAGTTAGAAGAGGAATAATATTTTGGGGAAATTGCACTTACCTTTATGATTTAAGATGGCTGTATTTGAATTCCACCATGCGACCCGATGGGTCATGTGCCTCAATGAGTGAGGTAGAAAATCACCTGTTCTGGAAATTAAATCTCAGTTACTAACAATTCCTAATTTAACTACTAACCATTACCCTTGTCAAAAAAAAAAAAGATGGCTGTATTTTAACCTCTAAAATTATAAAAATATGTACATAATCTCTTTGTGACTTAAGAATATGCATTTAACACCACTAAATTATGAAATTATGCTCACAACTTCATTATGATTTGCAAAATGTGCACTTGAATTCACTGGGGAATTCGTTTGGCGTTATAATTGTAAATAAATTTTATATTTAGAATGATACATGGAATTCACAAAATTTTATGCTTGGAATAAATATAAAATTGAATTAATAATAAATTTTTCCTAAAAATACCCCTTCATTACTCTTAATCAAAAGGGTATTTCAATAATTTAAATGTTTGACTCATTTAAGATTGTGGAGTTTATACTTTGTTTTCAATTCCCATCAAAATAGAATGAATTTAAATTAGAATTGAATTTCATACCTTTTAAATTTTAATCAAATCAAATATAAACAGTGTAGAATTGCAAATAAATTTCACAAAGGTTTAATTTTAATCAAACTAATTAGAAAACTGTGAAATTCAAATTATGAAATGAAAATTAATTTAAAAAAGGAATTGACAGTTATTGTTATTAGTTAATAACTTATTAAATAGTTAATATTCATTATTTAATAATTTAAAACTAATTTATACAATAATATTTTAAAATAATTTAACTAATTATTTTTAAAAAAATTATAAACTAATAAAATTACGGATTTTTCTAACTTATACTAAAGGTATAATTATTATATTTTTTGTCATTAATTATTATTAAAAAAAATAAAAATTAATTTTTATTTAAATACCTATTTAATTAAAATAATTTACATGACATTAATGATAAAATTAATGATAATTTTATATTTTTTAATAACAATTAATATAAAAAAATATAACAATTACATTTTAATTTATACTCTTAAAATATAAATTAGACAAACCGTAAAATACTCAAATCCATTCACACCTAAAATTTAAAATTAAGAACAGCTGAATAATGCCTCGTGCACATAATTGTAGTTAATTGATCCCTTGACATAAATTATCCATTCTGTCATTAATAACCGTGCAAACTGTAAGATCTCAAATCTCAACTCCCTATGGGTGTTTAATGAATTGACCATTTTCCCTCCGCCCAAAATGAAAAATGAAAATAAAGGGTGTCACAGATCAAGTGGCAGCACATTGAAGTCACATACGTAAAGCGTTTTCTTGTCACCAGGGACCATTAATGTGAACAGAAAGAGAGAGGTCAGTCAGATTGCACTTCAGGTAAAGCTGCACCACTATTTGGGCAGAGCAACCATTTCATTGCTAAGAAATGTCAAATTTTGGATTGATATTGAGATGGCGTCACGTCGTGACAAGTGCAATGACATTGAAATAAATCGAATCGATTCGATTTCTATCACTATCAGGCATTCACAAGGAAGGAGTCCTGGCATCCGCAGAGTTCATATGCTTTCTTTTGTATGTTGTGATGACAAGGATATGGCTTTTTTAATAGGTTTATGATTCCCTTAACCAAATTTTTTGAATAGGTCTATTCAGGAACGGAAGAGAACAGTTCACCTAATGAGCTTTGTATTCATTTGGTTTGATATATTCTAAAATGCAGTCTCTTTGAATGCCTCATGGAAATTTCATCATTGTGTTTGACTTGGGTAAAATATCGGGACCAAGATAATACTATTACTTAGTGACCAAGAGAAATGCCAGGAGGCGGCCTGAGCTAAGCCTGGCTGAATGAGCCCTAGTACAGGTTTCAAGACTTCAACCAAAAATTTCTTGATTTTGAATCTTCCTTCCTAGGAATGTCTGTAATCGCAGCCCAAAATATAAGTGGAACGGGCTTTTCACTAGGGTCCAGTCCGATCTACTACTTTCTCAGATAGAATATGAACTGAAAATGACTTTTTGGCAAATTGGGAGGAAACATAACATAAAAATCAAGGTTCCAACAAGCAGATTAATTACCTTCCAAGTTCCAAGCACAAGCTTTCCATGTCGAAATGGTAGTATCATAGATCATCTTGCTTCCACTCCTGGAACCAAAGGTCTAAAATCAAAATTATAATTCACAAGATCTACCATCTGAATACGGATGACTAGGCTAAACTAGTTTCTTACCTGGATCTTCTGATGCTTGTGCTTGAGTTGTTGAGAATTCTGAATCAAGTTGTAGTATTGACAATTCAGAGTCATCCTACGCATAAAAAAAATACAGATACAGTCATTAAGGATTTTTCTCTAATGAATCAGATTCCTAGAAACTTACTTTTAAAAAAATACCACACCAAATCAATCATATGCCAAGATGGTGGCATCAGATACCTCTTCATTATTTACTGAGATGTTAGGAATATTTGCAGCCGATTGAAGCTCAGAGCAAGCTGACTGCGGAAAACAAACGACTTGTAAACAATTGCATCTTCTTTCAGCTAATCACTAGTGCAAGAGTTTTCCATTTCGTGAATAACGACAAGAAGTACTTGCCTCTGACCCATGACCACAGGAGTTGATATTTTTATTCTCTTCTAAGGGATTGTCAGTTGCATTGTACTCCTGACGTAGTGGCAAAGCTGATTCCCCAATCCCACAAAGAAGGCAACTTGAGGAATTTGAAAACTCAAGCAAACTATAGGCATTTTTACAGGAAATGTATGTGGAAATGTCTATACAATTACACAAATGTCTTTTCTGGTCAATAAATACATCATGTATGTTGGGTTAATTCTAGGATCCCTTTATCAATATCTCATTTAGCTTCAATCAAGCATAATTTCTAGGTAGATTTTAGATTTTGAAAATGTTCCCACATGCTACAACTGCTATTAAGAAGAAAATAGACTTGATGCAAGTTCTAGATTTTCATATGATAACTAATAAAAAATGTTCTTCTTCTCTGGAATAACTAATAATGAGATTTTTCTCTCCAAAAAAATCAAGAATTGGATTCTAGTGTCTCCCATTACATGATAGAAACTATGAGGCTAAAAAAGATTCAATGCTGCTTTTGCCGACCAAAACTGGTAATAAACAAAAAGATGCATTCATGATAAAACTATAAAACACATCAACAAGCTTCTAACCACCATCGGTCATTATCAACTGGAGATATCTTTTTCAACTTGAGATATCTTTTTCCACATATTGGACTCTCTTTCATATGCAAACATGGTGGATGTTGCAACACTCCTAGAGAAAGAATGAACATCTAAAAGTATTTTACTTGTCCCATCAAAAAGTTTTACTGCAGTAAGACAGCCAAGGGGAGAAACTGCAAACCTCTCTACCTCTGTTCTCTGCAGAATCCATCCTCGGAGACTTAAATGGAGATCTATCTGTACCATTCCAAACCATATCTTGAATCCTAGTAAGAAATCAAATTATTAGAACCTTAGACAAAGCTATCAAAGAAAAGGTAATTGTGCCATTTGGTATCTCCAACATGTATTAATTATGCCACTGCAATATGTTTCTACTCCAAAATTATCATATTCCCAAACTCCTGGGAAGCAGACACGCTGGACACTTACCATTTCATTCAGTCATACGCATACAGAAACAAGCACAGAATCACATGAACCTATCAGGTGTCACGTGTTAGGGACCAACCAATAACATTGTTTTAGTTCATGGAACTGCCTGATTAGAATGATCCACCCAATGAACATAGTATTCAGGATAAAGTGTAGATATCAAATGAAGAAATCATTCTACCTGTTATCTTTTGTTGCTTCAATTTTATCACATTCATCATGATGTGCCAGTACCGAAGAGAAGACCCTTCTATCCTGCCACAGAAATCAATACTGCTTCAGACAGAAAGGCAAACTAGCAGCAGATCAGGTTGGTTAAAACTCTTTTCTATTCTTTTCTTTTACCTGCTATTTAGAAGGTTTCTTTGAATTTTGTGTGTAAATATTTAAAGTCAAAATCAAGTCAGGATCATCAGACCTCTTCATCCATTCTTGTAACAGCATTCTGTATCTTCTGCAAAATAGCTGCCAAATTTCCAGCCTGAAAATGCAGTGCCTGATCATGTAGATTTATAATTATTAGAAACCAATATACATGGAAATAAAAAAAGAAAAGAAAAGTCAATTACGTAAACTATCAGAAGTCATACCTCTTTCTCAGATATTAAATTTTGTATGACTGCATCCTTTGCCAATACAGTTTTCTGAAGGTGAAGTTGGCTAAGAGATTACAATTATAAGAAATACCTTCAGCTGAAATTGCAAATTAGTTCTTATGAAACAAAGATACATATGAATCTTAAATGCTGGTTAGGATATCTCTTGTATTTGAATTTGGCAGCTGTCATTACTAATTCTTGCTATTTCCAGCTTTGCTTCTAAATCTGAAACAGTTTTATCCTTTCTTTGACACTCAGCCTCGTTGCTTTTCAGTTTATTTTCAAGGTTGTTAATCTTTTCTGCACAAAACAAAGTAATTTTATACTTCTGAATTCTTATGAAGCACCAAGAGAGAGCACCTGTTAACTCAGGTATGATAGGGAAAAACAATTACCAACGAACACTTTTTCAAATGAGGAGACTTGATCCATTTTGGTCTTTAAGCCAGCCACTGAAGCACAAAGAGTTGAAACATTGCAACCACTATTAAATTATTATTGGTATTTGGTAATCCTGCATGTGAAAATGGAGAGCAAACATGAAAAAGTAATGGATAAAGCATCTAAATACCTAGTTGCTCCTTTTCACTCACAATCCTCTGCACCTCATCCACAACGTGCTTGACAGAGGATGCCTCCTTTTCTATTGAATCGAATAATGATAAATGAGAGTTTATCTTCTCAGCTAGGACAGTGAGTTTTCTATCCCTGGCTTCAATTGAACATTTCATTTTGTAAGTAGATTCCTGCCCATAAATATGATATCTATGAGTCTCTTGACATGATCAAATCTTCAGAACAAGATTAGGGCAGAAAGCAATAAGCACAATGATTTGATCCTAATCCCATCCATCATTAGTCGTGTTTTGATGTATCTATAGTAGAAATTCTAGCTCAAGAATGTTTATAGTAAATAGTACTAAACTTCCTAACTTGGGCATGCATACCAGAAATATGTAGAAAGAATATACAATTTTTCAGGGTGAAAAAAATGGGCGGGACAGGACACACATATATCAAAGCTCTAGTCTAGATTGCACAAAACATATCCTCATCTTCAGACGTTCATTTATTGCTTCAGCACTAGAATTCTAGCACTTCTTTAAATTTTACATAATTGTTACAACATTTTTTATCCGTTTGATCAGCAAAAATAGGCATTCTACTCACTTACTAGCAGTCATTTCACTTCAATTCACGGCATAAAACAGTAGAAAAGCAAAAAGGAAAATCACACTCATGAACATGTAAGGTAGATGATATTAGTAAATGCAAACCTGATAAGACTTTATAAAATCATCTCTAGACTGAAGCAAGCCATCGATAGTTCCCTTCAGTTCCTTTTGCTTGGTTTCAAGCAAAGCATTATCGTTTTGCAGGTAACTAACCTGCAATACCAGAACCGTCTTAAGCAATGACTAATCAGAGCAAATCGAATCACCTCAACCTCTAACAAGCATTTTCACAAACACCTAGATAGCGAAAAATTCACTAACCTTTCTTTGGAGCTTTTCTCGCGATTCATTACACGAAGCTACCTCTGCTTGCAATTCCTGAAACTTTCGACTGTATTCCTCCTCTGTTTGCTTTTGTTTCTGCATCCAAACAGCACAATCACGATCTCCATATAACGGAAAACGAAAAGAAGGCATGAACAGATCGAGAAATTCCGATCAAATCAAACCTGGATTAAGAGATGGATCTGTTCGGTCGCCGATCGTTCTCTTTCCTAGGAAACAAGGATCGAAAACAAACAAACTCTTTGAGCGTTTTGAGAGCGACGAAGACAGAAAGATGGAAGGCGGAGAGTGCTTACTCTGAGATCTCGAGATTCAGTGACAAGAGCTCGAAGCTGTAGCTTGAATTTAGAGAGCTTCAGCAACTCCATTTCACTTGTTAATTTGATTATTGACTCGCACCACACCCCGATCCGTCTAATGTACTCCTTTCAGCGAAGTGAGAACGTTCTCGACTCTCGCTTTA